ACCCCGTGTTCATTCCAATATTATTCAGACGAGGAACCGAGTAGAAAGCAGCTAGCTTTTTGGTTTGTCCTGTTCAGTGCACCGGAAATATGATTTTGACCCACGGGTGGAACAAAAGCAAAGCGAACAAAATACTCCACGAACAGCAGCAATTAGTGTTTATTTGAATTTTGTCACTAAAAATGCTATAAACGTGTTTTGTAAGCAGAATGGGCTGTTTGAAATACCAGTTTGCAAACACCTTGTTGTTGTCGTCGTCGTGGTGGTGATAGTAGTGGTGGCGGTTGTGACAGTTTTAATTATAATCTGATAACATCAAAACAATAAATTAATTGATGTAAGCTATTCTTCATATATGCGCTGAAAACTGATGAATCAAATGATAAGCACTTTAACACAAGTGTTTCCTGTTCGGACTTCGAGTGTTTCAGGGTGCCTAATCTCTACACTTCATGATCATGACTGCTATTTTCGACCGGAAACAGAATGGGCCATGAACAATTGATCAAAATAACTTTGATCGATACCTACGTACGAGTTAAGCTCACGTAGAAAATTTCTGCAAAATCTGGAGTTTAATGAAACTCAAGTTGTCCCGGGTCACCTCAATGTGGTCATTTTGTGCAAGCGCAATCCCGAGGCTACAGTTGTCGTGCGGTGTTCGAAATATGTCATCTTCACATGACATCACATCGATTTCTGCACCCGGGAACTATTGTCTACAACAATACCGTGTGATAAGTTCTTACTTTGTAGAATTTTTATCACAAAGCTCAAAGATTCTCCTATGGCACGGAATAAAGTTGACAACGGCCCGAATAAGTGAATCTTTGAAAATTCTGCTGATGAAGCTTAGTTTGGTTCGCTCTCGTCATCAAAAAAACGTAAATCCTAAACCGGGGGTGACAAATGAGTTTCGAATCAGCCAGCTTAGGTGGTAATGGCGTAGTGGATTAGTCGCTGTCACCGGCGTGCTTTGAACTCATCACGGAATGACAGGTCTTCGTGACTATGTGGATATCCCCATCTGCCTTTCATCACATTGAGGTGTTATAACAAAGGTGAACAAGCAGAGAAATCCTAAGAAATCCCATTAAACCAGGTGTCTCGAGTAGCCTCTGAGGAGAAAGCTCTTCTTGCTGATCCTAGTTGACCAAGATGCTTCCCCAAAAAAGTGAGCAGACGAAAAGCCAACATCCGGGGCTAAAACCTAGTCAGTGAATTTCTGGCAATTCACTTAGAGCAATGGGCTAAAACCCCGGATTCCAAACCAATTAAGAAGAAGCTTACGAACTATAAACAACTTCCTAGTTGTGGCAGTGATTATCAGCTTGATTGTGCAACGAGGTGTATTAGGCACCTTGGACGATCGATCACATGCAAAGGTATCCGATGACTTGAACATCGATCCTCAATGGATTGTTTGAATTGTCATGCTTAGTGAAAATTATTTCATATTGTGTCGAACATCGCTTTCA